CCCTATGTCTGTAACCAGCTTTTTGTACTGCTTGATTGTAACATTCTTTTACTTCTGAAACTCTTTTGCTATATCCTTTCATACCCTCGAAGAATGTTTGAATGTACTGATGTATATAAATCACCTCGTCTCTAAATAATGCCAACACCCAACCAGATTCTAAAGCGGTGATCCACAGTTTGCTTGGTTGTTCCTGATTTAAAAATGTATGACAAAGTGTAAATCCAAGAATCACCCATCTTTCTATTCTATCCAAGCTCAATGTTTCGCATGACATAGTATCTGTTGCTGCTGCCTTTAGTATCTGGCCAGGACTACCAACGAGACTCAACTTTTGATCAGCTCTCCATGTATCAGCAGACAAGTTTCTACCAGGATATACTGGCCACAATGAAGTCAGGGCATTTTTCAGCAATTTAGAATGCGGTATAAACTCTTCTGAAAGTTTTTTCAACGGAGCGTCGTAATCCATAATCATCTGTCCTAAGCGAGGAAAACTGGGATCTGATTGACTGTGCACCATCTCGTGGGCTGCATTGAACAACCCTAGCACCGCTTTACGATCTTCGACTCTCGATAGGAGGATCATCAAACTGATGTAAGTGATTACAAGATCTAAATATCCTTTGGTCATATCAAAATTAATCGTAATATCCATATGAACACCGCATGCATCCATAGTTGTCAAAAGCTCGCATACATTATCTTTAAAATCTAATAGATCCACGAACGTGTAGTAATACAATGACAGGGATTTGATGATCTCGTTACGAATGTTCGTAATGGTCTGTAATCCCTTTATATCGATGTTAGGAAACTTTCTGACGATCGCCTTGATGGAAGACTCCAATGCCTTGTCGGAAAGGAATGCAGGCTTCGATTTGGCATCACCACACGCTTTTTTGATATTATAAATACGTGTTAACATACCGATACCTCTGTCATTTAAAATAGTCAACTTCTCGGCCAGCTTTTGCTGGCTCGGCACGATAGGTCGAGCCATGACCACGTTACTTAATCGCTCCTCACGCGATTGACATTACTTGTCAATTATTGTTTGCAATAGCTGACAGCGATTACTCGACCCCACCCCTGGAGAAGGTAATCTATTCCACCGGATGCGCCTCTGGTTTCCTGCAAGGAAAGACGATGCTCGTTTCACAGTACACCTTTGACTTTTCGTCTACCTTGACTATTCGTGTACTCACCTGTCACCGCGATTACATGTTGTACGCGTAATAATCAACGCATAATAATACGCTAGGCCGAATTAACTCTGTATATGTATATTATGCTCCAGCACGGCGCGTACCGCGTGAAGTGCGCCGCTATCGGCGATGCAGTGCTACCAACATGGTGAAACGTAATGCGAGTGTAGTCTGTAGTCTTCAAGCAGAGGGGACGACAACGATACTTCTCTCGATTCAAATCGCGCGACTCGCGGGCTGTGATGCTAGAACGAGATCGCGGCTCACTTGCACACAATCAGAGAACCCCCGTACATGTACTGCGCAGAGCGCTCTGCGCAGTACATGTACGGGGTACTTTGACTGTGTGCGTGTGACCCGGAACCTCGTTCTAACATCACAGTTCGCGGAGTAGTCGTTCGTTGTGCGCGATAAATTTTGCTCGTTCGTAGTGTGTGTATATTTCTGTGTGGCAAATTGCTGTTTCGGAGGATGGATTGGCTAGCAAATCGAGGTCATTGTTGCAGATAATGTAAGTCGACCATTATTTGCATAATTGCATAT